TGACTGGCGCCCGAATATTTTCCTTAGAGAGTTTATTTAAGCTAGGGCAGCTACCACCGTTACAACACACTCTGTTTCTTATTGTTCAAACTTGTATTTTAATTTTTTTTCTCATGCCATGGACAATAGTGAAATAAATATTCCCTTTGAACAGTATTATTTTTTGACTTTCTATGTGATTTAATGTTGTAACAGGTGGTGTTTTAGTTTGCTATCCTGCGTTAATTTAAATTTTGTCAGGGTTAAAACCTGACTGGCGCCCGAATATTTTCCTTAGAGAGTTTATTTAAGCTAGGGCAGCTACCACCGTTACAACACACTCATTCAATTTAAGGTGGTACACAGTCCATTGGTCTAGAACTTAATTAAACAAAATATTTCTCTTTCTTTCTTTCTTTGAATGTATAACTATGATTGCCTGTTTTTTCTCTTTTTTCTTCATCTGAATGAATGTATTGTTGTATGTTATATGTAGATATGTGTATATCTATTATTTGTAGCATATTACTATATTTACGTTATTGTTACTTTCTGTTTGACTTAAGATGAACCAAATAAAAGCTTTAAAAAATAACACCTTGGGCCTACATGAGTGCAACAGAAAAACATTGCGGTAAGAGTGCTTTCCAACAAGAAGCACTTCAGAAATAGCTTAAATTGCATTTATCAGGACTCATGGTATCTTAAAAAACTAATCCAAATTGCAAACTAAATCCAACCCTGGATATTTTATATAATTTTGAAATGAGTTTGTGAACCCGCAACCTCATATTCGTATAGAATGAGATGTAAAGAACTGTGAACTGTCAAAAAGTGATAAGGTATAGCTAAGGGTGGTCCAGACCAACCATACGAAAGTATGACTTACAGAAGATATACTTAACTGAGAATGTTTTGAGAAACATGTATTAACGATAAGGTTTAGGTAAGGTTAAGGTACAACTTAAGAACGATGTAGCATTAATAAACGCCATCTTTATAACGGTGTCTCATAGATCTCAGACGCTTCATCAGGAGTTTAAGATTAGAATAATGAAGTCAGAGTGAGAGTTAATGGATTAGTAGAGCTGCATGATTTAGGGAGGGGAAAAAATAACTGTGATTTTTCTGGTTAAAATATGATTTTTAAAACCAATATGGAAAACAAACAAACACCAGGTTTGTTGTGCTTCTGTAACGGAGGCCAGCGAGGAGGTGCTGTGCAGGTAAACCTCACTCCCCTGATCTCAAGAGACGCACTAGTGGCTGCAATCTTTAGCCTCCTTGTTAGTGCGTCTGTCTCCCATGCCGGAGACCTGGGTTCGAGACCCACTCGGAACGAGAACAAGAACGAGGTGTGACGGTGAGGACCCGGGAGAGAGGGGTTACATTGGTGCCGTGACCCGGATGGGAGTGAGG